TGCTGTCGTTGACGTGCCCAGTGGGTGACAAAAAACTGCTACGACTACTATTACTACCACTACTACTACTACTACTACTACTACTACTACCACTACCACTACTACTACTACTACTACTACTACTACTACTTCTTATACTGCTACATACTTCTTCTTCCACACGCAGCAAAGTGGTCCTTGCTTGGCTCCCGTGACTACTACATACTATACTACTACTACTACTACTACTACTACTACTAGTGCTGCTGCTACTACTACTACTACTACCAGTAGTAGTACTAGTAATATTACAGAAGAGGAGGCTGTGGGGCCTGCGTTTTTGCAACCCACTATTTTCAGTAGTTTTGTACGTTTCGACTGGTTGTGTGTGTGGCTGTGGGTTTCTGTGTCAGTTGGTCGCTCGAGTGGTGCCCGTGGGTGCACGTTTTCCTTTCCGACTACAACATCAACTCTGAGTTGTTACAAACCACGACACGAGGTCTGTTTATAAGCACAGGGTTTGTTTATAAACACCGCGTTTCGGTGTACCATGCTTTCAGCGCTTTGAGTTTGTTGGATGTGATCATTGTCATGTGCATCGTTTTCTTATACGTTTTGCTTAATGAAGCAATGAAGCTAGATGGTTAACTCTTGTCTGATACGTGCTCGGTGTCTAAATGTTCGTATTCATTGTATTATGTCGGAGGGAGGGGAGAGGGGGGGGAGGGGGCGGGGGCAGGAGTGTTGGGTTGATGTTGGGAGAACCGTCTCCCCCCCCCACCAGCACCAACGCGGCGCGCGCCATTCACTCCAAGCTCCAAGCAACACGTTCACAAATCTCACTTTGCTGCAAATTTTGGATATAGACACACTGATACGTAGGACTTTTTCTATGTGCCGGCTTGTGTGGTTTAGACCAAGACCTTGTTAAATACAGTGGTATTTACGGAGCTTCTGCTTATGTGAATCATGACAAAGTTATGTGGTCCGCTGTTTATAATCAGCTGGCTTTGTTTATAAACACGTGCGTTGCCCATAAAGACATGGGTTGCTTATGTGGGAGATAGTGCATATGTGCGTACACCTGTCTTCCCGTGTAAACACACAAGTGCTGTTGCTGCATAACTCAGGGTTCCAGTCTTCGCCACCATTATAACCATAGTACAGGACCAGAGGGATATGAAGGGATTGTATATCAAACCAAAACGATTTCTGACACGGATACTTGGAGATGGAGGCCTTCGCCACAATTATAACCAGAATAGAGGACTAGAGGAATATGAAGGGAGTGTATATCAAACTAAAAAGGCTTCTGATACTGATACTTGTGGAGATGGAGGCCATGAAAGATCATGCCAGGGCTTGGACCACAAGGATTTGTGGAGCTTTATCATTCCCGTAGCGAAGTTGCGGCTTCAGCCGAAGCTGCCCCTCCAGATGTCCGCATACTGATCCAGATACTTGGTATTTTGGATTGTTGATTGTGGGGAATACCCGAAGCTGTAGGGCCTATCGCAGCTAGCAGGACATGAACATGCGCACAAGCAGGATCTGAGTCCGCTAAGACAAGTAGTAAACTTCTTAACCATGGCCATTTCTTTATATCTTTTCATTCCTTGACTCTTTTAGACAGTCACACATGCGGATACATATATTCAACTCACTCATGTTTGTTGACATGCAGCAACGAAGCACTGGTCTAAACACCTGCTTTGAATCCTACGCATTTTGCAAAATAAATACGCTAATTCAGTACGTACCTGTTCTCAACATTGCATGCCAAAGCAGATGACGCTTTGAGTTCTCGTTTTGGGTGGATTGGCTTGATAGGATGAAAAGTCTTGAAGGGATAAGATATATGGCTCCATGAGGGACGTATCGACCCTATACGGCCTACCCCAAGACTTGGTGCGATAAAGTGAAGAATACACGGCATTTACGGTGATTCCTGCCTGTGATAGTTGGTGTGGGAAGAAGATTGAAGACATAGCCAATCAATACCGTGGCGTCGTACCCGTTGACGTCTGACTATGCACATGCTAAACCTGACCTTGAATCTCAGGAATAGAAGTGAACGCTACTTTGTGGTGTAATGCTGTGGGCACATCAAAACTATTTTGAAGATGTTGGAATATAAATATGATACAAAAAGGATCTGCAAAAACCAAAGCGCCAACCAACCTATCTTGTAACAAAAAGTCGCCCTCACAACAGTTCCCTCCCTAAACATATCCCTAATCCTTTGAAAAGTGGGTTTTCAAAAACCCAGGCCCCACAGCAACCTGCTCTCTAATATTATTAGTTGATTTAGTTGTATTACTACTACTACTACTACTACTACTCCTCCTCCTCCTCCTGCTGCTGCTGCTGCTGCTGCTGCTGCTACTTCCACCACTTCTGCTACTGCTGCTACTACAACCAAAACAGCCAGAGTACAGTACTACCGGTACTACTCTGGTACTACCATCTAACTAGTACTACTGGTACTATACTAACTGGTGGTAGTGCTACGCGAGGCAGAAGAAGATAGAAAAGTGGTAGTATGCTCTTTGCCGCTGGCGCGATGGGGGTGGGAGCCGGCTAGTTTGTTTGCTTCGCCGGTGTTTGTCTTGGTACATAACAAAAAGCAGCTTTCTGCACTTCCACTAGTTCTTCAGTCGTTTGTGTTGCTTGTCTCGCTGCGTGCTTAATCGAGCACGATTACAGTAACCGCAGTTTGTGGCCATCACAGGACCATTTTGGCAGGTATGTCTGCGACTTGTGACAGCTGACTTTGATTGCCAATGTCGATGTCAGCGTCACAAGCTCCGTCGCTAGCGCATTTGTGACACCCCTTTAGGTCAGATGCTTCTTTTGAGTGGCTATACCGGAGAAGAGTAGCCATAACGCCCTGTCTAGTCTGCGGTCGTATTTTTCACCTGAGCGAAAGCCGAAGTCCAAGCAGCACTCCTTGTCGATGGACGGCTGGCATACATCACAGACGACAAGAGAAAAGCCACAGGTAATGACGAGCTCATTACGTCTTTCTCTCTTGCTATCTCTTGCTGAGCCAAGTAGCCAACGACAGCTCTTCGAAAACCGCAGACGGACGTTCTCCCGACTCTTCAGCCTTTGTAGTAGGGTCACATTCAAGTTTTCTGTTCGTTGTTTTTCCTCTGCATCAGAAGGAGCTCTTGGAATCTGGATTCTGAGGTTCTGGAGACCCCTAGATCGTAGCACCAACTCCTGCGTGGCGTCCGACAAAACTTGCTGTTGCCGTCGCCGTTGTCCTCCTGCTCCTCGGCATGGCAATCATACCTTTTCTTCATGATCGCAAGTGGCAAGTGACTTACGGCAAGTCGTCGTCTGAGCGTCGTCCTCTCTGCTCCTGGTCTTCGCCATCTTATCCTAACAGCGAAGCTGTTGTGTTGCTCGCTATGCAAGATCAACAACCATGTAGCTGCAAATGCAGCAGCTCGGGGGGTTTGTCACCACATCGCACCAAAGTGAAAATGACATCACCGCAGAGAAGATGCCTTTATCGATTGACCGTCTGATCACCAAGGTTCAATCGACCCAGCCATTTCCATAGCTGTCGAACAGCCACGGCCACGGCACATCCTGAAAACATCAGTCGAGTTCCGTTCTCTCAGGTCAGTGATCACGGCAAGTTGAACAGCAGAGGAACGCACCAAGCTTACAAAGTTATCGCAACTTCCAAAACACGACGAAGGCAACCCAAATTGTGCACAACTCTGCACATCCTGATGCTCCTTTCGCACTTCCTGCTCAAGAGTAATGAGCAGGACAGCTGAGCCAACCCCAGACCCATATTCCGTGACAAGGCTAGTTTCAGGCAGAAATCGGCCATTCTCGTGTGGTAACGGTCAGCAACGGTGGCGAATCTCGCTGTAGGAAGATCGACATAGTTACACGATGTGATATGTAACTATTACCCACATTGGAGCGGCACCTTCGTTACAGAGAACGAACAGTTGGTCGTATGACAGGTAGATGTGATGAGAGTTCCTCCAAGACACCGGCCCATTCGAGCTTTGTGCTCAGAACTTGCAGTGACCAGTCGCACTGAAGCTTCAAAGCTCCAGACCTGTGCGGGAACAGGATGGAAGCTTCCTTCCTCAGGCCTGCTGCGCGTTTTCCCGAGTGTTTCCTGTTGGATGTTTATTTTTGCAGGCTGGGTCTTTTACGGTGACTGGGTTGCCCGGTTACACTGGATATGTGTCCACCGCCGAGCTTCCCCTACAGACAGCGCCGATAGCGTGTGAATGGCAGTGGATCGAGGCCTGGCAAAGTGGCTGAGAACGTGTATGGCTTGACTTTTCAGAACGCGAATGAGCGTTCTGCTGCTGAGGCTGCTGAGTCGTGTCGTGGTTCCCATGTCTATTGTTGGATATCCCCTGTGAAGCTTGCCTGTTCAGGCAAAGATTCTGCGCAGCACTGGGCGTTTGCCCATGTCCTATGCAGGACGTACTTACGATGGCGGGCCACTTACTGGCAAGATAACGCCCGGCATCGGCTTTGCTTTGATGCCCCTGTCTTTTGCTCGAATCGCTCGCACCTGGCTTGCGCAGCTGCCAGGCCCTGCTCCTGGTGCTGAGGCCTTCGCCTTGCTGTTTCGCATGCAAAAAGCACTGCTGCAACAATCTGCCAGATTCCGGGCTACACTGGCTTCATTCCTGGACGGTATGCAGACAACGTCATGGGAACTACATTTGCGAAAGGCGTGTGGGCCTTGTCGCGATTGCTAGCTGAGTCTCAGGATGGCCGATTGGCTTTGGGAGAGGTCAGTACTCGGTTGAAGGTCTAAGATGCGTAAGAAGCCTTGAACTCTGGAGTCGTTTCTGTGCGCCGAGGCCGAAGTCGCATTCATCGTCAAAAATCAGCAAATGGCAGATCGACTTCATCGAGTCCAGTGTTACCGTCAAAGTCTTATACCGTCTGTTCGCCCGGCCTCAGCCAGCGATCTCCCTGACAGTGTACTAAGGGCAGGGAGAGAGACCCGTCAGCCGGTCGCGGTGAGAGACCATCCGGCATGATTTCCGTGACCTCCAGCCAAGTCAGTCTTTCTGCGCAGTTCTTTGCCGTGGCCCCGAACTGCCAGAACGATAGCTTCGCTGTTTCTCCTGCATGATGAACGAGAAGTTGTTTCACCCAGCTGTTTCACCGTTTCAATCGAGCATTGCCAGATCTGCAAGGATGCGGCAACAAGCAATGCACCGCTATGCTGATATCTGGATGCAGAGAGGTAGCCATTTTGGCTCAAGGTGCCTTCCTCCTCGAGAAGTTCATCCGCGAGTACGTTTGCTCAGGGGGGTGGAGTGGAGGTGAAGCATCCGGACTGTGTCCCCGGGTGTGGATCGCCCGCCACTTCTGTAAGTAACCTAGAGCCGCCCCTGGCGAAAGGGGGAGCGCCCGAGCCATTATTCCGTTCAGTACCTGGGGGGAGAGACCAAAGCACTGCATCGTTGAAGGGGAGGTCGGTGACACCCGACGTCAGAGATCAGACCTTCTACCGGTACCAGCTCCTGCCACAGCCCAAAGCCGTGCCTGCCATGCTCTTTCCGGTGAACTTACACTACCTCTGAGTTGGGCGGGGGACTTTGTCAAGTGCAAGACTGAGCTTGGCCGACCTTGAGAACGTAGCAGTCTACCTGGTACTTGCACCATGTAGTCGGTCTTGCGGTGTTGAGCAGGGCAAGAGCAGGGACCAAGACAGCTAAACGGGATACTAATCCACAGTGCACGAGTACATGTTCCGTGTAGCCAGGGCCCCGGCCCTGAAGTTAGGCGACCTCGCAGGTGATGAGTACATAAGCAGTGACGGGCAAAGTTCATGCACTGAATTGATCCAGGTCTTTAAACCGAGACCTTTTTCGACCCATGGTCGGGGGAGCTTGCAACCCGCGCCGCCCGAGAACCTTTTCAATGGTAGCTCCGGCTACCCAATAATCTGACCGGCCTCGCCAGTTATCGGCAAATGCATTTTTAGACTCGCTCTGACGGGGGAAAGCTAAATTCGACCGACTGTACTTTTGCTACACCCCCTGAAGTCTCGAGTGTTGATTTGATGCCCACACACATGGCAGCTGTGGCTTTTATCGTCCTGCCGAAGATATGGTGCCCCAGGTCCCTGGTAATCTGAAGGTTTTTGCTTTGTTGTCTGTTGTTACACACGGGTGAACCGTATCTTTTACCGATCCTTAATGCCCCTTAAAGCCCGCGTACAGGGGCACGCCTTTCGGCGCGGGGGGCCTAACACGCCTCTCGAACCCCGAAGTGAAGTGAAGCGAAGGGAAATTTCGAAGCGGACTTTTCCTTGCACTCCCAAAGCCCCCAAAGGGGGAGGGGAGGGGTCCGTGACTGGACTTTTTCGCCCGATTGAAAAAGAGATACAGAGACAGTGAGAGAGAGAGAGAGAGTGGGGGTATCCCCTACATCATAGCCCTGGCGAAAGAAAGTGAGCGTGAGAGGGAGAGTGAGAGAGAAAGGGAGAGTGAGAGAGCGAGAGAGTGAGAGTTTGCGAGATTCAATCATAAACACAAGTTCGAAACATACACATAGGCGGATGGAGAGAAGAGTGTCTTGCACCTGAACTTTCACACGCTTTGCAAGCAAGCAAGCAGGCAAGTGAGACAGAGACACAGAGAGAGAGAGCAGGGTTCGAAATGGGCCTTCTGACTCCTCTCATTCCTGCCACTCCGGGCTCGTAGAGAGACGACCCCACCTGTCCATTCAGGGGACGTAGAGACATGTAACCTCTGTATGCACAGAACCGTGACACGGCGTAGAGAGACGTCTCGGGACACATCATTCCGCTCTTTCCATTTACAATTTCTTCCCTGCCGAGATGTGTATGTCTGTGTGTGAACTTTCTTAGCACGTGGGAAAAGACGGTCACTCCTACATTGGTCTGCCGTTTCGCACTGCAGGGGCGTCAGGCCCATCATACCTACCGGACGCAACGCAGCTATGGTATGATGGGGGAAGCTAGAGTTGGCCACTCCGGTGTACCTGCGCGATAATGAACATAAAGAAGCATCTCGTTTCCTCACTATGCATTGATTATCCCCGCTGTTGTTTACAGGACGGTTTACAGAAGCCGTCGCTTGTGACGACCCCACATCACCTCCTCTTTTCTTTCCTCGTGCTTTTGCCGAAATCCCACAAGTGTGTGTATTCGGGAATGACACTTGCACCCGCCACTTTCCTCGCGCTGGAAGCAAGCAAGAGCCTACAAGAGCAACATGACGCAACATCATTGCATCCAAGCACTCCAGCAACGCTTATAGCTGAGCTCTTTACCGAACACAGGTCAGTACCCTGACTCTGAGTATGGAATGGCGCCATCAGCGGTTGCTTTAGGAGTTCCATGGCTGCTCTTGGAGCTGCGGCTTTGAATGCAGAGCCGTTGTTTCCCTTCGAGTTTTCAAGCACGTTGCGAATCTCGGCCAGTATCTCGACCCGGCTTGCCTGAAAGGTCCGCCGTGGTGATTGCGCTTCATGGAGTTGCTGCCGTTTGCACTGAATTTGTCTTTCAGACCGAAGGCCAGCCTGCGGCCTTGCTTGTCGCATTTGGTCGCATTGTTCTCACGCGCTGTCATTTGCTTCGAGGCTTCGTTTTCGGCTTGTTCTACACCTTCGCTCAATGATCTTTGAACGCATGACTAGCACACTGCCGGTGCTCTGGACGCCGTCGTGACAAATGGCAATAAGGTCTAACATTCGCTGTGCTGGCGCTGGCGCAGTGTGCAATCAGAGGCACCAGCGCTGCGTTGACCGGAGTCGTGTATGGGGCGTGCAGCACTCACATTTCTCACGCACTTTACTGCGCCTGGCTTTGGCATATCGCGCTCTGCATGGCCTCTTATCTTGCCCGTGGACATCTTCAATCACTGCCCACATGCACCACTCAGTCTAACCTTTGCTCAGCAGCGAAGCCTTAGCTGCATGGAGAACACTACGTCACTACGTGATGTGGATGGTTGTCAGGATGTCTGCAAAGGATAGGGCTCCATGACACGTCAAATAGGGTCGGGCCAAAACCACACACTATGTGCAAACAAAGCACACTTTGTCTTGCTATCCTGAGCAGACAGTGAGGCCAGCACCGCGATGATAAGAACATGAATAGTGTCATGGAGGACGATGATGAAAGCAGGAAGACTCGGAAGACTATGTATTCAAGGCGGCTATTCGTTGTTAATTTCCGCTGGTTGAGAGCAGCAACCAAGCCGCCCCCTTGCACAGGGGGCTGCACCGCTGAAGCCGAGCCAACCCAAGCTAAGCCAGTTTGAAAACGGCGCCGCTTACGCTCTGTACTGATCTTAATGTTCGGTTAGAACCTATTGCTATCATGTTTGCTGTTCCTTGTGTTTTTGCTTTTTTGCAGCTTTTCTTACTTCCTGCCATCCTTCGTAGTATTGCTGCTGTTATTGCTGCTACCAGGAGTATATTTGCATGCAGTTACGGCCGGTACTACTGCGACCCCTGCCACCCAGCCCATGGCACCGCGTTTCTCCCACCAACCCCCCATCAAGGACCAATTTTAGTACAACTAGTTAACTAGTACTATTGTTGCTATAGCTATTGCTATTATTACCTTGATTCTTTTTATTATTGTCATTACTACTCCACCACCACCACCACCACCACCACCACCACCGCCACTACGACTACTACTTCTACTACTACTACTACTACTACTACTACTACTGCTACTACTAGCACCACGACGACGACGACGACAACAACAACAACAACAACAACAACAACTACTACTACTACTACTACTACTACTACTACCGCCACTACTCTCTTTATCATTGCTATTATTTGTACGGTTACTTACTCCGATTACTCCTGTTACTCGTATTGCTACTACTGTTCTTCTGATCTGTTGTTTGGTCTTCGATCCGACGTTTTGTTGTATTTGGTACAGCCTCTAGGAACTATGAGCTTTGATTTTGTGGATACCGGAGTTGACTTGTGTTTTGATCCCAGAGTTTGATTTTTGGATCTTGGATTGATTTTCTGAACCCCCAGCCTGTCAGCACAGTCGAGAAGTTCCGTATTCTGCAGATGGGCTTTGCAGCAGGAATCCCGACACTGCATGTTTCAGCTCTTCGTGGTTCCGCGATTGCTGGGTGCGCCGCCCAGATGCCATCAACTGTGTCGGTGCATCCCGTCGCAGCGTTGCAACACACAGTGCCTGAGGTTGGCGATGACCGTTTGGCTCCCAGAAGCCAGAGCGAAGTCAGATCGATAGTGGGATGTAACGGTGTTGTGAAATTGTGGCTGCGCCCACCGAAATGCAACATGGAGTTCTGAAAGAAAGGTGGCCTGTGAACCTTACAGCATCACACTGCAGTCAAGTTTACCTTCGGATGCTTTGCGTCGCTACGCGAAGTGAACTGGTGAACAGTACGAGTGGAGTTCTGAGAAGACGACCGTGCCACTGGCCGACGGGTGCCAAGGTTTCCCATGGCTGCGGAATTCTGTCGTACATCTACATCAATTACACAACAGCCATGGTCTTCAAGAGTGCAAAAGTGCCCAGTGTCTCCTGCCGCAAATGCTGTGCAGGCGACAAATGCAGCATTATGTCAGGCACGCTTAGGCACTCCCCCACCATTGAGGTCTTGCTCGGCGCGAGATGGATCAACAAAACGGCTTTGACAGCCCGCGACCTTTTTTGGGCGCTGTGTATGATGTGCCGGGGTTGCAGCTGGCTCGTTCGTCCGGTAAACGGTAGTGCTGCCCATGTATCTGCGAGGAGCGGGTTACTCCTGTTTGCCCTGGGAGATGGACTGGAGTCGGCACGATTTACAGTGCTGGGGCAGCTTGCGTGGATTATGGTTTCGCTGGCGTGTTGCACATGGTGACATAGTGCTTGCTTTAGCACTTGAGGCTTGTTTTCATTGCCGTTAATCTGGCGGGCAGCACGTTGACCGCAAACTTGCAGCAAAGCGTTCTGCAGCCATCAGCGGGTGTGGCGTCGCCCTGAGCCTGGCTTTGCTCAGACACATTGAGGCATCTGCAATATGTCTGTGTCTCGAGGCACCTTCTGTGCATGGTCTCATGTTGGTACAGTATGCGGCCAGGATGCGTCTGGTAAGTCGCCGCGTGCTGCCGTCGGAACCCTTTCGAGCACTTAGGCGACAGCCTCAGTCGTGCTCTTCTTGCAGACATCAATCACTGGCGAGCCTTGGCAAGTGGAAATGCAAGCGGCAACGCAATGCGAAGCACTGTGCGTCGCCCTGAAGCCTTGAAGTCAACTGATGACTCCATGTGGATAGCAAGCTTATGTAGTTTGTAAAAATTGCCAGGCCCACTGCCACGTCCTAGCCACATTGAGAAGCTTCAGCTCCAAAGCCAGGTTGCAATGGTCGTAGATCTGAGGCCAGCATCAAAGGCACCGTAGAATCGTCATGTACCGACATCTGCGATTGCAGTAGGACGGGGATCCAACCGCTCAGTGTCGCCATCGAGTCACACACGCCAGAACTTGCAACCTCGGGGCCACTGTAATTAGGTTCAAGACTTGCTTTTGTTCGGTAGGCACTGAAGCCCATGCAGGTTGAGCTGCGTGGCAGGGAACCTCGCTCTTCCAGAGTCACCAGCGTCGCCCTTGAGCGATCAGACGGTCGCAGCCACAAGCGAGCAACTTGGTGCGGCAGTTGTGACTGTGAAGCGCGAAGTGGCCGATGCCCGGGTCGGCTCTGCAGAAGAGGAGGAGGAAGAGGAGGAGGAGGAGGAGCCTGAGGTCAAGGATGTAGTGCCGATGCCCCTGGTCGCTGTCCCGCCGATGGCAAAACTGGAGTCGACGCTTCGGCCGCTGACTACGACAGCAGCGAGTCTCGCGCCGAACATAGTCGCCTAACACCTGACGTTGGCCTACGAGACGGAACTGGAGAGATGCGATTCACTGCACCAAGCCGAGCTGGAGCGCCAGAAGAAAGAAGCAGAGAAAGAGAAGGAGGCCGCGGTGGAATTGGCCACAAGTCGAGCGCGGAACGCAGCATTTCGGTGGCAAGTGGAGTCGCCTCAGCAGCAGGTGGCGCAGAATGCACAGAACCAGATGCCAAAAGGCAACGAGGAGCCCGAGCAGCCGCCCGGTGTGGCACTTCGAGCTCAAGCGTGGAGGCTTTTTTACCACCGTGTACCGGAGCCTCACACGCTAATTGTCACCAGTGCTGGACCAGCTGCTAGGCTGATGGTGAGGGAAGGGAACAGCTCGGACTTCACGACTGCGAGCATGATTGACCTTCAACCATCTACGGGCTTGTCGAGACACAGGGTGCGCGCAACAAGGGAGGACCGCGAAAGGGTGCAGCGCAGGGCCACAAGCGTCCGCGTCAAGGTCATGAACCAAGCCAAAAGGCCTATATCGAAGAGCAGCACTATGCCAAGTGGTCAATCGGCCAAATCGCCCATTGATGCCCACAATTATGCACAGGCTGGGTTAAAGCTTCACTCACTTGCGGCTCTTCAGCGCTTCGCTAACCGCTAACGTGAGGCTGCCCAAGCCTCAGGGATCGCCGTTATCATCAAGGCAGTGAAGATGAATCAGTTGGATTTCACAATACTGCTCTTCGACGGCGACAAGCACGCAGTCATACAACACGATGTCCTACGCATCATGAGGGAGTTGGCCGTCATCTTCCAGCGCGAGATTACATCTCGGCAGCAGGGAGAAAGAGAGTACCCCGAACTGGTCATGGACCAGGAGCTCTCAGCCCCGATTGGTGTTGAGGTGCTTGGCCACCGCCAGCTCAATGAGCTGTTGCACTACACGCCGCACTGCAGATCGGATTTCGAGTACTTCATGGACAAACGTATTGGCCCTGGCAGTCGGGTTTAATCAACCGCATCGCTTGCTCCACTCTAGAGAAACGCCTCCTGTTCCACCGAATGCTTCAACACTCTGACGAGCGTGCAACAGCCAGTGGCACTATTGACCGCAATCGCACGTTGTCCCTGATTGCAAGGCACCGACCTGCCGAGACCCACATTTGAACAGTGGGTCAGCCTGGTGCCGCCTTCCTAGTGGAAGAGCCTACGGCCAGCGCGGAGAACACTGGAGCCGGATCATCCACGGACAAGTGTCAAGCAGAACCATCCTCACCACCGCCAAGGCGAACCACGCGTGACCCATCGAGCTATACCAGTGATGCCGACTGGGCAGCGTTCGCAGAGGGCAGAGTCTTCACCATAAGCACGGCCCTGGAGACAGGCAGCCGGCCCGACGATGACAATTGGAGCATCGCTACGACGGATTCCTCGGCACACGATCCGACGGATCCGACCAGACCAATGTTTTCAATGTTGGGATACATCACTCATCGCCCTGCCTGAGAGATCCGCCTACATTTGGATGGTTCCAACACGTCAACATCTTTCCGGAGCAGACCGAAGCACGGCAGATTGCCAAAAAAATCTTCGAACAGCTTCAGGCTGCTGAGCCCACGAGGGCGTGCAGACCGAAATGGGAGAGAGCCGATGCACATCAGTGGTCGGTTTTCGCTTCCATCCATGACTGTCTCACACGTCCCATAAACGTTATGAACATGAATCTGTCCCACAACAAACTGCACGGGTACGCGTCGTTCGATAGCTCGCATGTGCAATGGTTCCTCTCCGGATGGAAGCACGCAGTGCTGAACTCTCGCAGTGGTCGGCGAAAGCGCTACTATTGAGAAGCTCTTTGTGTGCGTCGGGTCATGAGACACCTCCCTAACCAAAAAGGAGCACTGAGTGAATCTGAGTCTACCCCCAAGCATTTCATTAAAGTGATCTGCCATGTACAATCACCCTGGCGGGTTGGTAACTTGCCCAACCTTAGCAGATAAGGTGCGTACCTGTGGCCAGCTCAGTTTAAACCTTTTGCTGTTGTCGCACAGCATTGGCACGCGACGGTCTGGCGATTGATCTTTCCTTCAGCCTGTACCTATGGCCTCTTCCGTTGCACTTAGTTGCGCGGGTGGCGTTGTTTGCTGAGGACGTAACTAGCGTGCGGATACCGCTTGTGGTTTGGCATGGTTTGGCTCAAGTAAAACATGCGTTTGCATCCTGGCTGTTCTGCCTATAAACATAGTGGCAGCCGACGCTTTTCTACTCCCGTGGTCGATGTGTTGGATGTTCTCGTAATTCCATTCATCGCGTATCCTGCAGTCCCCGAAATGTGAAAATCAACATACGTAGTGCAGAACTTGCATAAGCATCCCGAGTGCAGTGAGAGAGCAGCAAAATTCGATATCCCAAGGAGTGTTCGGATGCCGTGCGATGGTACCTTCGCAACCGATCTGCTGCATTCTACACGTGCCTGGACAATGTGCTCACATACTTGGGTCGCAGTCTCAAGGAGTCGACATGTGGACATGCAAGAGATTCATGCATCGGTGTTGCCCGCGACACCGGGGTTATCCATGCATGCTGCAGAGGATTGCAGAGCAGCTAAGGTCTAGAAGCCGTGATGTGCATCACAAAGGAGTTTGATGCCACACGAGCGAACGTTGTGTGCTCTGGGAGGAAGGCGACCCTACATCGCAATATCCCGTATCAGCAGTGATATGCTCGATCCCGATATCAAAGCTAAGGATCACCTTCGTGTTTTCCTATTTCTTCTTCCCCAAGCCCTTCAGCATGTTGCACATGCTGCTTGGGAGACACACGATTCCTCAGCTTGGCTTTGGCACTGTGCGGATGTTCTTTATTCCCGGATGGTGTCTATGTTGTAGTAGAATTGTGACTGAGATCACTGAGATCTGAACATTGACTCAGGTTCGGCCTTGTCTTGACTATCCTGGGCGGCTGGAGCTTGCAACAAGCAAAGTGGCACGATAAAAAGACAGCGGGAACACGAAAGCGCTGAAAGTTGAAAGTGCATTGTTCAAATCTAGCCGCAGAGGTAAGACTTGATGCTCGCTCCAGGCCCAAAAACCATGCAAAATGCAGCCCTCCACTATGCTGTGAGATAGACATGTCGCAAGCTGGACACACGGCACGAAGCGCTCGGCCATACCACTACCGTACCCTTGAACTTAAGCTTATTCGATAATCAGTCTTGCTGCAGCTCTTTGGAACCAACCTGGGCAGAGAGCATCATGGCAAATGAAAGCCAAGAAAATCAGGCCTGAACTGCTTCGTGTCTGAAGCTTGTATCTGATCTGTAATCGGCGAGGATGCCCCGAGCTTTGGAATTGCGGAAGCAGCCGTGGGCTCAGCATGCACTGAACAGATGGCGTTGCCGACATGTCCTGTTCCGGCAGCTGCATCGGACATTGCAGGTTGCGACCTTCGATTCAACGATGCAAAGCACAGGAAGTTCGTGTCTCGGGGAGAGATCGCGAACTCCAAAAGCCTGGGATTCGCCAAGTGGCACTCCCAGGTCTTGGCCGCACAGAGGCCGAGAGGCCCGGCGTCAGGGCCTTAGATTCGGCCGAGGGCCGGCCGTCTCCGAAGTGAGCAAAGGGTCGCACTCGTCGGTTCCGCTCACGGATCGTCGTGATGGAGGTTGGCCTCGGTGGAAGCCGCGACACAACTGTGAAGGAAGCCAGTCACAAATGTCCATCAAAGCCGAATCACAGCCTTGTGGTGGCCACGATGCTACAGCTACGAGTGAGAACTATAGCAACACAGGGAATAAAGCAGCAACGACGAGCTGTTACCTTGCTTTGTTGTCCGACGATTAGTGTAGCATAGTGAGAGCTCATTGCCGTGCAGGAGAACCTTCGGGTTTGCTCGCTTGCTCATCTGCATCCTTAGTTCCACTAGCTTTCGCGGCCAAATCTCGAGCATGCTCTTCCGATGCTGCCCAATGACATCTTTTGTTTCCGCAAAACCATCAAAAACAGGGATCGAGGCGGAGAGACTGCATTACCAACACCAAGACCGACAACAACATGGAAATTGACTGGCAGGTGCAAGACCCACTTGGACTTCAGATGCGCAAAGACGACACTAGTGAGACTAGAAATCCAGAGAGACAAGTGCAAAGGTTCGGAGTCGAAGAGTGCAGAGACAACTGCAGCGTCCAAAAGTGCACAGGGGAAAGAGAGTGCAGATGAGAAGACATGCGAAAGGCCAATGGAATGGTGCAGAGGCGAAGGAGAGTGTCTGAACGGGGGGGGGTCGTCCTCCAGAACTTCAGAGACTCAAGTGCAACAGCGTAAAGGTGAGACCTGTGAGAGAGTGCGGCACATGAGGCAATTGCAAGTCCGACAGAGGCCCAGCCGAAAAAGGACCCATGACAATTCGGACACATCATACGCCGGCGATCCCACGCTCTGAATGAGAAGCTCTTGTTCAGTGAATGTGAAGCCGTGAGCGTACAGGAACTCCTGTAGCGCTTGAGTGTGTTTCAATGTCGAGCGAAGGTGGGCTCTGAAACTCTTAGGGCACAACCTCTCTTTGCTGGCCCTCGGATCACGGGGGCTTTGTGTGTTTTGGTGATGCTCCAGGACGTCGGTGAATGAGATGTCATGTGGAGCCTGTTCATGGTAGACAGCTATGCCGGAGCTACCACCTGTCTTCTTTCCCGCTGCTTGAGCCCGCGGATGATGGATTCAGGGTTCAAGCCCCCGCTCGCTGAACCTTCCACTGTGGGTCCCAACAGGCAGTCGAAGATGAGCTGAGCAACGCTGCATCAGTGGACAAGGCGCTTGTACAAAGCATGGCACTTGCAGCTGAAGGGTATTGCCCACAGTCAGGTCCAAGAAGTCACTGAGCAATTGGCAGAGTTTCTCGTGAAGTTTAGGCCAGGAGCTGCTGCCGCATGCAAACTTAAGAAGCTCGTCAGATATGGGGTGACAGACAGAGAGCGAGAGAGACCCTTCTCGACAGTTCCGATGAGCAATATGCCATCTTGACACCGTTCCTGTCCATGCTGCTCCGGGCTAAGATGACCATGCAAATCAGGCAAATCTCATGGTCACGGATTGGAGTTTCCAAGATCAAAGCATGTTCCCTTCGGCTAAGGGACACCGGCGATGAATTCGTCGGGGGCCTCCTGCAATTCTGAAAGACGACTCATCCGGTTTTCATGCAGATACCCGCCAGTAGCGGTCCGCTGTCAGGTTGAGCCACACATTGATGAAGCTCGGAAATTCATCTGGTGTTGCCTGCGAGATTCTGCTGAGACGGGGCTTGGTACCGATTCCATTTCAAGCTGATTTGGGGTTCACTATGCCTCTGCACATGCTGCACCGATACCAATTGAGGAGCCAGGAAAGTTGCACCAGTGCAATGCTGTAAGTGGCGAGACTTTTCCATGAAGAGCCAACTGGATTTCGTTTACGGACTCGCATCTGACTTGGCCAGTCATTACCTCGCCGTTTTCTCGCAGTGCGAGCGAGATTTGATCCTGGACAGGGCTTGCAAGTTTGCATGCAGGGTTTCAGCACTTGTTGTAAGTAGGGGATCAAGAACAGTCTGAGACCCTCCCTCTCCCCTTCACCCCTCTCTCGCCCTCTCACCTCTCCCCACCCTCTTCCCTCTCCCCTCTTCCCTCTACCCGGCACGCTCTGCCCTCTCCCCTCTCCCTCCGCTCCCTCATCCTCCCTCATCCTCCTTACACTCCCTCACCCTCCTCCCTACGAAACTGGACTCGTCGACCCTTTGAATGCCAGTGCTTATCCTTCACTGCACAGAAATGATGGGGTTCAGATCCCCATAACTGTCACCGTTCCGTTCCGAATCTTGATATCATTGCGACGTCCCAGCAGGGCTGGGTGGTCCAGTGTTTCGATGCTCTTGGGTGGCTTGGCAGCTAGGATTGCGGGTTTGGGTGCTGCATAGAAAAGAATACATTCCCAAACATCATCGGCCGTCTACGCATGTACTGTGCTTATGCAGCTGCACATC